CTGACAGCAGCCAATCTCACTCCCAACCCAAAGCCCCTACCCACCCCTCCACTCACTCCCACCTGGCCCCAGCTCCCTCCCTGCACCAGGACACGGGTCTAGCTGCAGCTGTCCCCTGATGCTGTTTTATGGCTCTGACCAGTGCTGGCCCATGCTGTTGTGCTCCCTGCACCTGTTGGTAGCAATAAAGGCTGGGTTCAAGTTTTGTGGGATCCCAAATAAAGTTAGTTTCAGCTTCAGTCCCCACCCAAAAACCTGTGACAACTACATTTAAACTGAGGTGTTCTGAATGAACAAACTTCCTTTTGCAAGCTAGGGATGTGTCCCAGCTGCCTTTTAGTCCCTGTCAAGGAGGGACCAGTGCTGGCTGCCCACTGCCTCCATGCCAACCCCTGGCACACTGCAGTCCCTGCCCTGCTACCCCTGCCCTGCAGCTTCCATGTGCTCACCACCCAAATGTTTCCAGATGGCAGCAGTGGGTGCAGCGCAGTGCGTCTTGGTGGAGCGGGGCTGTCTCTGACAGCTGCAGGCTCACTTTGGCTAGCCTCTGCATGCCACCTGTCTCCATTGCAGATCCTGGAGCTGTTCTCCTGGGACATGCCATGCTAGCCCAGCCTGACCTATGCAGTACTGGCCACAAGTGCTTTGATGCACCTGCCACCACTATCTGGAATGATCCGGGTGTTCAGCACCCAGGAGCAGTGGAACTGGGGTAATGGGGTGAGGACTATGGTGGGCCAGCAACTTGCATGGCAGCAGTGGGTGGGCAGCAATGGTCCTTGCTTAGTGGGGGCTAAAAGGCAGTTGGGGCAGAACCTGCCAATCCCCATGGGAGGCCCCTTCTGGGTCCCTCTCCTAATTCACCTCTTCTCCTGCTTTCACTCCCCTTCTCCATCCTACTTAAACTGCCTGTCAGCAGGCTGTCCTTCCCCCCCTTTCCTCCAGGGACAATCAGAGGGCCATGAAATCAGGCCCAGGGGTTGCACAGGGACCAGGATATTGCTGGTCTCTGGCTGTGATTTAAACCTATCCCTATTCATAGGTTTTATATACTTTCTGCTCCTACACTGCACCATCTGAGGACCAGCTCTGAAAAGTATTTGGGAATGTCTAATTGTCATGGATTCCAGTGTGAATTAGGCACCTCGCACTTCCCTCCTGGCCCCTGGGGGAGAAAAATAAAAAAATAAAATAAAAGCAGCAGCAGCCTTCTGGGTGGTGCTGCTTTTTCTACCTTGGCTCTTAGGGGAGAAAAAGGAAAAAATAAATAAAAGCAGCAGCAACAGGAGCAGCAGCCCCACCCCCGGGCACTGCTACCTGTCATGGAAAAATCTTAAATTATGGGTGCTGACAACACAGAAGAGTCAAAAGCTAGCATGCACACTTTAGTCTTTGAGCGGAAAATTCCAAGGCTCACCCAGCACGTGCCTCCTGGGTGATCCGAAGGCCTGTCAATCAAGCATGACCTACTTTTCCACCATGAGCATGCTCTGTCAGATACAAAACCTAGTCAGACGCATGCTCAGTTCTCTGACTGCCTGGTGTAATCAGACCAGAAAATTCTGTGAGGGGAGCGTTCTAATTGGCCATGAAATTCTTATAAAAGTTTGGTGAGCCCCTCCCTCGGGGGGAGTCCCGCTGAACTGAGGACAGAGGCTGGTTCTCAGGGACTGTCCCTCAGTTAGGCTCTGCAGCCTATCGGTCTCCTCCTATTGCGATTTTCTGATTTGTTCTTATTGATTTTCTGGCTTTCGATTTAACTGGCACCAGCTAGGACTACGACTTTGATACTGATTAACGGACTCTCAAACTGAACTTACCTTGATTCCACGGCTTCTGACCTCGGCCTTCATCCTCCACCATCCATCCATCCCATCGTTCCGGCATCGACCTCGGCACCATTTTCAGTCGACTTTGGCATCGCTCACAACCTGCTTTCATCCACGTTGGACTTTCGTTTCATTACAGTTCCGTTGTTTGTCTGTCCCGTACATGAGCCGTTGACCAGTCCTAGGACTATTGAGCCAGGCAGCCGCCCCTAGCCTCCGGGTTAGATAGCAAGGGCTTGGCTCAAGAACCCTGTGGACCAACGGACTCCTTTGTTGTTCTGTGTTATACTGTAACCGAAGAAATTGTCTACGCCTATGCCATCAAAGCGTAAGTTAAATAAACCACTTTGGTTGGAACCATAAGTTTGTGTGCCACTCAGACTCAACCGCCACTAATCCCACCTGCTCGTATACCCTCAGCCCACCGTGCCTGATTCGGTTCTCCGTAACCACACTACCTTTCTCCCTTAGCCCTTGGGAGTGAAAAACAAAAAAACCTCCCAAAAAACAAAATGCAAAACCAGTAACAGCAGCTTCCCAGCTGCTGCTGCCAATGCCCCTCATTCCTGACCCACAGCCCCTTTCCCCTACCAGGCCTGCTGGAGGGGAGCTCCAGTTGCCCCTGCCTTCAGGCCTCAGCCCCAATCCCCCAGGCCCTACTTATCCCTTCAAGTAAGCTGGCTGTGACAATCTACACCCCAGAGTACTCAAGGAGCTGACGAGCACCATAGCCCAGCCTCTGGCATGGATCTTTACAAACTCCTGGCACTCTGGTGTAGTGCCCGAAGACTGGAAGA